ACACCTTCGGAGATACCTGTAGAGCATCTTTATAATCACCCAGTTATGTTGTGATGTTTGATAGCTCACAAGGTATTCCTCCGGTATCCGGGAGTTGCATAATCTCATAGTCGAAGGAATATGTATTTGACATGAAGAAAGCAATAGCAATAAAACTGAACGATCAATATGCTAAGCTAACTGATGGGTCTTGTCCATATCATCATTCTCCTAATGATGTGATCATGTTCATCAAATTACAACACATGTCTATGGTTAGGAAACTTAACCATCGTTGATTAACAAGCTAGTCTAGTAGAGGCTTACTAGGGACACGGTGTTTTGTCTATGTATCCACACATGTATCGAGTTTCCGGTTAATACAATTCTAGCATGAATAATAAACATTTGTCATGATATAAGGGAATATAAAATAACAACTTTATTATTGCCTCTAGGGCATATTTCCTTCACGAACATGGTCGGAAGTACCAGAAGACAGTTCACACAAGGGGGTTACTCAGGTTCAGCCCTCATGGTGAGGTAATACCCTACGTCCTGTTTTGTTTTGTACTAAAGAAGGAGCACCTCATGCGAGGGGGTTACAAGGGAGATGATGAGTATGGCTACCAAGAGTATAATCTACAGAGTAGATGGTAATGGCTACCCCTAGCCCTGCCTTATATAGGTGACAAGGGCTAGGGTTTACACAATGCCTGACCGATCTCATGCCGCCGACATCTTGGCTTGCATGCCAAGATGATCTTCTCGCCTACTGCCCCCCGGGGGTCATCTCCCAAAGCCGGACCTCTACCAGGCCTCCTAGGCCCCGAGGCCGGCCCAATGTCGGACTTCCTACACTATGTGTCACCCTCAGTGTATTGACCGTCAATAGCCCTTGAGCATGTCTGAAGTGATAGTCTTTTGTCTTTCGGAATGAGAACCTAGGTAAGCTACTTCTATCTTGGCAACAGTTGTGGCCTATTCTCATGAGGTCCGTCTTCAGAATACTCGTGCTCGCTGGGTGTGAGGCCTCCTGGGCAGCACTTCCGCGAGTTCGGAATGACCGACACGCCAGAGGGGGGGTGGTTCCGGGGCCTCGTGACCCATATCTCCATGGAGAGCTCTGTGACGTGTCGTGACAGTTGGAAAGATGACCCATAAGTATTCCATTTGTTCGGATTGTTTCTTCAAGGTGAAAACCTAGAGTCTGACCTTGGGTGGTTGGATCCGATGATGGTGGCGATTGAGCGTTGCTCCCTTCGTGAAGACGTTGTTGTTGAAGAACCTTGGCGTATGTGCGTTTCATGAGATAATTGGTGTGGATATAATCATTGCTTTAGTTTGTTGATCACGGATCTAATCGCTTTGAGTTTTTTTTCTTTGCCTACGTATAGCTTTGGTCTTTTTTCCGACAAAGGGCGCTTTTATTATCTCGAAATGTAGGATCAAGCGGATACAAATCATGATGAGCGACACCCGGCCTCTGCATAGCTAAGATGCACACAACCACAAAAAGAATCGTCTGACAAAGTGTGTAAAATAAACCCAACAATTCGGCAACGGTAAAGCCATATGAGACCAAAACTATGCCTATGTCGACGAAGGAGGTGGACCGATCCGAAAATTATACTGCCACTCGTGTTGGGTAAAAACCTCCCTGGCCACCCGCTCCAACCGCATACACGCCACCTTGAACAGTGTATCAGTATAGCTTTGGTCTTACACGACTTTGCTATTTGACAACGTGTTTTTATGCATGCGTGTGTTGGTGTTGGTTTGTGCATTCTATCTATGCATGGGTTGGTTGTGTGCTCAATGTGTTTGCATCCTCTTGATGCTTTGTTTTGAATCAATAAAATCCATCCTTTGTCGAAAAAAATACTCCATTTGTTGCATCCCTTGGAAAGATGAAAGATGACTGTTGGAATAACAAATAAGAATCTCCAACAACTACGGTGGAAAATATTAGAGCAAATACTTAAAACACGTCCATATATATAGTAGTAGTACCCGACTGAACGTTGGCAGAAATTTAAAGGTAGTCTTCACAGTACTCTCAGCAGGAGAAACCAACATACTCTCAGCATATGATCATGGCATCGCCTTGAACGAAATATAGCTTGACGCGTTTACTCCGGGCGGTGACAACTGCTGTTGACTCGGCTCACTCGACGCGAAGCCCACCTCCACCTCCAATGGTCACCGGGTTGGTCGCGAAAAATTTCCAGGAAGCTTCATACCTTCCTTGTAAGTGTAGGCATGCAAGCGTCCACATGACCCCTATCCTATCCGTTATTTCCTATCTCGGCAATGAAAGTGACCTCGCGTTGTTGTATCTTTTACTCCATTTAATTGTTGACAGTAGTTTTGTCCCGATCGAATTGAGACGTTGCTTGATTGCTTCCAGTAGACATCTCCCTCCCTCCCTCCAAGTTACTAGGCTATGTCAAAAATTTAATTAATGCATCAGCGTTTTTGGGACAAATAGAGGGTCATCGCAGCCAGAAGATTGTGAAATTATTCTTCAAGGCCAATACAATAAGTCAGTATATCCTCGTCCAGCCCCGACGCCCGACTAAATAGTTGTTTCTTCTCATGAAAGTGTTTATTATAGGAGTAAAATTCATCTATGGTACTTGAACTTGTGCCACAAGTTCGCTTTGGTCATCGTACATAAAAAGTTGGTCCATACGGTCATTATGTACAAGTTTAGGCGATTGTACGGTCATGACGGCCAGATGTGTAGTACGTTATTCAATATAGCAACTCTATTCATAAACCGATGAAAGCTGTTCATCTCAACAAATATTATAAAAGGAGTATCTCCGGTTTTCAAATCTATACTAATTTGGCTAAACTTGCCCTCACTTCTTTGCAGAGACCGCGTGTAATTGATATTGTCTTGATACTAGTATATTTTCTTTTAAAAAAAATTAATGAAATTGACCTGCCAAAGTTGAGCCGTTTATAACACTCGTCAGGACAAACGTAGAAGCATAGTCCAGTTAACTGTGAATTCCCATGGCCCCACATTCTCCAGATCCTCATAACGACTACTCCCTCCGTCCCATAATATAAGAGTGTTTTTGACACTGCGCTAAACGCTCTTATATTATGGGACAGAAGGAATAATTTATTCAGTGGTAGTGTAAATTGTCGGTTCCGACGCATGAGATACAGAAACAAGAAAATGCCTAACTGGATGCAAAGAGCTAAGATGAATCTACATATCAACATATTATTTCTTGGATTAACATGCACACATGTGGATATATATGACATGAAAAACATGAAAGCAAATATGATCTCGTGAAGAAGCAGTTAAAGAGCAATTGCATTGCATTACTCATCAAAGCACCTTTTCAATACAAGATCTTAAGCAAGAGAACACAACCATAGAAGTTGCAGGACTAATACAGATTTAATCAGCACATTAACCTGTTCACAATATCATTTATGATTAATCGGCAGGATTGCATACATATGCAGTGAAGTAGTGATAAAACAAAAGAGACAGAAAGTGAAAGTACTTTGCAGCTCCTTAGTAAGTTCGGATAGATGTAGTTGATATACCAAGATAAATAAGTGATTTTGTCTATAGATGTACTACTATGTAGGACAACATGAATCAGAGGACACAATTGCTGCAACAAGAGAACTACCTGACATTGCTAGCACAATGAGGATAACTGAAATTGGATACAGAAACAAGAAAAAGCCTAATTGGATGCAAAGAACTAAGATCAATTTACGTATCAACAAATCATTTCTTGGATTAACATGCACACATGTGGATATGACATGAAAAACATGAAAGCAAACATGATCTCGTGAAGAAACGGTTAAAGCGCAATTGCATTACATTACTCATCAAATTAAGCTCCTTTTCAATACAAGCTCATAAGCAAGAGAACATAACCATATACGAAAAGGTGTGGTAGCACCCGGTAGTCCCGACTCCCCTTTATCTGCTCCATTCAGCGTTGATGAGATTCGTGCAAGGGTCTGTCGAACAGCAGCAATGTCAGCGTATTAATCCAGTCCATTTTGACCGAGCAGACAGCGGTGCTGGACAAGTGGGGTAGGTCTGCGCACGTAGGCAGAGGCCCTCTCTCGAGCAGGTCTACAGGACAGGCAGGCTACTGTTGAAATGACCACTCATAGGCTGTGCATGCAGCTATGCTAGTATGACTAGGTGAACATTTGGTCTTTAAACAACTCTATTCTCTTGATGGCATAATATTAAAAGCCGGGTAGTTCATGAACAAGAGAATATATGCCAGATCTGAACCAATATTCGTGGGATGATGTTTCATGGAAAGTTAATTCACTTTTTACCTTGCAACTGTGGGAGACACTGCACAAGGCCTTAAATAATTACTACTGCAACATGTCAGTCCTGATATTGACTGGATGACGCCTACACATGAACAGTGTTATTCTTGGCCTAGTTTTATTTTAAATATACTACTCCACGCTTAGTGATGTACAGTAGGCTGCTAATCAAATTGATGGTCAAAGGACAAGGCACATATCTCGACGACGAAGATACATCACTGGCGGCTGAGATAACCGGGAGTCCAGACCCCCGGGTGCTGAAAAGCCGTTCTCAACCATATAACTTGCAGGACTAATAACCTGTTCACAATACTCCATAATGTGCTTTGCAGCTCCTTAGTAAGTTGCGATAGATGGATATACCAAGAGAAATAAGTGATACTCAATAAGCATAGGCAACCACGAGAGGAGACTACCTGACATTGCTAGCACAATTAGCATATAACTGAACTAAGGTGCGGAAGACATGGCGATCAACTCCTTGGCAACAGAGGGGCAGGTTGTGCTTAGATGCTCGAAGCCGTCGCTGGCCATGGCTGCCCTCAGATTTGCCCGAGAGCTGAGAAAATGGATGCATGCAGTCTTGAGCCCGGGGCAACCGTGCAGTTCAGCCAGTGCCAGGATGTTCACCGCCGTGCCTACATTGATGTGCTTGCACAACTTGTCTTCACATACCAACTTCATCCTCTCCAAGTTATACGTGTCCGCTCGACAAGCAGGTGCTGGCACATGGCGTCTTCCTCTTCTTTTCCCATCTCCGGCAGCGAATCGGTGTAGACGAAGCAGAGCAGAGCCTTGAACACCTGCGCCTCCATGCCATCTATGCGGACCAGATCGTTGGTGTTACCCTCCTTCATCGAGCCAAAGAGCTCCGCGCTGAACACCGGCGACCGGGCCGCGAGCACGCAGCGATGCGCCGCGAATGTCTCGCCACCAGCCTCGAACACGACGTCTGCGCCGCTTCCGGCGAGGAAGAAGCCACTGAGGTGCTGCTTCAGGTCGGACGGGGGAACGTCGACGAACTTTGGAGCTGCTTCCTGGGCAGTCCCCTCGATGCGGACCCTCTTGACGACAGCGAGGTCGCACCTGATGGTGAACGAATCGCCCTTGAGATGCTTCGATTTCTCCAACGCATTCCATTGCACGAACTTTGTGTACCCCCAAGTGCCCTGGCTGGCGAAGCTGTGTGCAGCTTCTGAAGTCCCCGCCGCCGGCTTGGCCTTCTTGAGGAAGAAGAGCCCTCGCTTCTCCGCCTTGAAACCAAACTGGAACCGCGCCATCACTTCCTTGTCCACATTCTCGTCGAGGAAGAGGAAGACGGACACGTGGCCCGCGCTCTCCGCTCGGTCGCCGTTCGGGTAGTAGATGATCCTCCAGCGATGGCCTCCGGCGGTGAAAGGGCCGGAAATGAGGCACTGGCTGCTGGGGATGGCCTTGAGGCTTGAGTAGCCGCGGATCTTGAGGTGGTGGTACCCGCTCGCCATCTCAGCGACGATGGCGGAGGCGGAGGGGGAGGCGGTGGGCGGCATCGCGATCCTAGGCTTCCGATGGGGCGCTGAGCTCCGGCGAGGGCTGGTCGCAAGTAGGGTTTTTGGTGCGGAGCTGCAGAGTGAGGTGGGGATTGAGGAAGAGGAGGCCAATTGGGGAAAGCCGGAATGAGGAGATGTAGGCAAGGTGGTTGGTCTTCCAGGCAAGGCAAGGTTCCGGACATTTCCATCTAATGGGCCTTGGCAGATTTTTCTTCTGGGCCTATTGTGAGATTAATATAAGTTGTTTATAAATTTTTGGTAAATCGGATGTAATATAAACATATTCTGTTTGTTCATTCAGTTCACTGTACCTAGTCGACATTATAAAATATCTAAAACATCTTATATTTATGAATGGAGGGAGTACATGACAACTAGACTCTTGTGTTTCTAAAAAAACGCAGATTTTTGACATGGTTCTAGACGCACCTGCTGAAACAGTTTAATTTTTCAATATATATTTAAAGAGTCTAGCAATTAACATAAAACTTGAATAGTAACTTTTATACAGAACCAAATATGTTTTCTTTTTTTTTTGGCACAGAAGATCGTATAAGTCTTTTCTTTGCGAAACTTTACACAATGTATGACATTAGTTCATGTCATTATTTTCTTAAATAGTTGATTTTTTAAGATTCCTTTAAAAAATAATGTGGGTGTGCCTTGGCCGAGCTTCCATTGGGCACTTTCGATGACACCTTCAGTTCTTGTACACTAAAACAAATCCAGCCGCGTTCTTTTGTTGGAACAATCACTGGATCACACACAAGTGCGTGAGGAATCTATTTCAAAAATACCGGGAGGATGATGAACTTGAAAAGGGAGAGGCTCACACGAACGCATTGGACTCAGCTATTTTGCGACGTGTGAAGTCTGCATCTTTTTTGGTTTTCCTTTCATTTCTTCCTATCTAACCACCTACCCACAATTCGTCTTCCTCATGCCATCCCATAGACTAGACATGGGGTTCTACACATAATTACAATAACATGTAAACGTAAAAAGCTATTCAGCCACAATGCGCACCTAGCGCGATTCATGCGTTATTATAAAATGCATTAAACATGACAATTTCATTCAAAAGCTAACTACAACTTTAAAAATGAGCTATCCAACTGTAATTAAACTCATGAGTATGCTTCATGTTATCTTCGACTAGCCATGTTATGGTATGTATGATGTTGCTCTTCTTCCATAATTTCCTTTGTGTTTGCTTTGATGCTAGTTGTCTGCATCTTAAGTATATAGAGGTCTGACATGCATTTATTGCAGTGTTTTAAATAGCGGGCTATGGAAAATAGCGGCGGGCCTCCAAATCAGCTATAGCGAAGCTATAGCGGGCTATTTATGAAGACGACCATTTAGCGGCACCCTGCCGGAAAGGCTATAGCGGGCTATAGCGGAGCTATAGCTGGCTATTTAAAACTATGATTTATTGTGTTTGCATTTGTTTGATTCTTCATTTTAACATCTTTTGTAAAAAAATAGATAAACTCGTGAGTACAGCTTTTTTGGTAATTATTATGAGTATGAATAAAATTACAAAGGATGGCAATTTTACCAATGGACATGGGTACCAGTGGGTACCAACCTGTACGGGTAGGGTATGGACACATTTTCGTGCCCATGTGTGGTGATCGAACCTTATCTGATTAGTCGTGGTTAGGACATGGGTACAATTCTGCGACCGTGAGTATGCCCGGACCCTACTCGATTTTCTTACCGATAGTTCAGATATGTTACAAATTCCTGAACCATAGAAACCTCTCGCTGGCTAGCACCTTGATGACCAACAAGTATAGGGGATCTATCGTAGTCCTTTCGATAAGTAAGAGTGTCGAACCCAACGAGGAGCAGAAGGACATGATAAGCAGTTTTCAGCAAGGTATTCTCTGCAAGCACTAAAATTATCGGTAACAGATAATTTTGTGATAAGATAATTTGTAACGAGTAGCAAGTAACAAAAGTAAACAAGGTGCAGCAAGGTGGCCCAATCCTTTTTGTGGCAAAGGACAAGTGTGGACAAACTCTTATATAAAGGAAAACGCTTCCGAGGACACATGGGAATTATCGTCAAGATGGTTTTCATCATGCTCATATGATTCGCGTTCGTTATTTTAATAATTTGATATGTGTGTGGACCGGTGCTTGGGTACTGCCCTTCCTTGGACAAGCATCCCACTTATGATTAACCCCTATTTCAAGCATCCGCAACTACAAAAGAAGTATTAAGGTAAACCTAACCATAGCATGAAACATGTGGATCCAAATCAGCCCCTTACGAAGCAACACATAAACTAGGGTTTAAGTTTCTGTCACTCTAGCAACCCATCATCTACTTAGTACTTCTCAATGCCTTACCCTAGGCCCAAATAATGGTGAAGTGTCATGTAGTCGATGTTCACATAACACCACTAGAGGAAATACAACATACATCTCATCAAAATATCGAACGAATATCAAATTCACATGACTACTTATAGCAAGACTTCTCTCATGTCCTCAGGAACAAACGTAATTACTCACAACTCATAATCATGTTCATAATCAGAGAGGTATTAATATGCATAAAGGATCTGAACATATGATCTTCCACCAAATAAACCAACTAGTATCAACTACAAGGAGTAATCAAGACTACTAGCAACCCACAGGTACCAATCTGAGGCTTAAAGACAAAGATCGGATACAGGAGATGAACTAGGGTTTGAGATGAGATGGTGCTGGTGAAGATGTTGATGGAGATTGACCCCCTCCCGATGAGAAGATCGATGGTAATGACGATGGTGATGATTTCCCCCTCCCGAGGGATGTTTCCCCGGCAGAACAGCTCCGCCGGAGCCCTAAATTGGTTCCGCCTCATGGCGGCGGAGTTTCGTCCCGAGAGCTTGCTTCTGATTTTTTTTCCAGGGCAAAAGACTTCATATAGCCAAAGATGGGCACCGGAGGCTTGCCAGGGGGCCCACGAGGCAGGGGGCGCGCCCAGGGGGTAGGGCGTGTCCCCCACCCTCGTGGACGGTGGGTGGCCTTCCTCTGGTGCTTTCTTCGCCCAATATTTTTATATATTCCAAAACTGACTTTCATGGAGTTTCAGGACTTTTGGAGTTGTGCAGAATAGGTCTCTAATATTTTCTCCTTTTCCAGCCCAAAATTCGAGCTCCCGTTATTCTCCCTTTTCGTGTAAACCTTGTAAAATAAGAGAGAATAGGCATGAGTATTGTGATATAATGTGTAATAACAACCCATAATGCAATAAATATCGATATAAAAGCATGATACAAAATGTACGTATCAACTCCCCAAACTTAGACCTCGCTTGTCCTCAAGCGGAAGCCGATAACGAAAAATATGTCCACATGTTTAGAGGTAGAGGTGTCGATAAAATAAAATACGGACATGAGGGCATCGTGATCATTCTATAACAGCAATATGATTTCTTATGCTAAAGTAACAATCTATTCACAATGTTGAGTATGAATCAGAAACTTCATTGAAAACTAACAAACTATGATCTCGGTCATTGAGGCAATTGCAATTTATCATAACATAGGAAAGAGTCAACATAAGAGCTTTTCAGCAAGTCCACATACTCAACTATTATTTAGTCTTTCACAATTGCTAACACTCACGCAATACTTATGGTCATGGAGTTTTAATCGGACACAAAGAAAGATAGGGGCTTATAGTGTAGCCTCCCAAACCTTTTACCTCAAGGGTAATGTCAACAATAATAGTTCATGATAAATTACATCCAATTGGATATATATATATATATATATATATATATATATATGGTCGCGCTATTCGTCATCCTGGATGAGTAATAGTTATTCTTCACCCCCCTCTATTTTACCATCAATGCCCTGTAAATTTACGTTTCGTAAATTTTGTCTTATTTTCGACGTAAAAAGAGATTGTAAGAAAACATATAATCGTTGTAAAAAATATTTTATGTTATGTAAAATTACAAACGTAAAAACATAGTGTAAAATACACATAAACTACAAATTTTCTTGGCTTATGACCTATATTTTTATTTTCTTATGTCAAATTTTACGTGGTGAATCAATAGGAATGTAACTATTTAAATTGCAAACGTAATTT